TCTAGTTCAGAGATACTGTCTTAAGGCAATAATACAAAGAGCAATAAAGGAAGTCCCCTGATATCTGCATGCATACACTCTCAAGAGGACAAAAAAGAGGAGGGCATTATACAGAATGGAAAAATATTTTCACCAACTCCACATCTGACAGAAGGGTAATATCCAAAATATAAAAAGAATGCAAGAAACTAAATGTCAATAAACTAAACAATCCAATTTTTAAAAATGGGGTACATTACTAAACAGAGAATTTTCAACAGAGGAATCTCAAACAGTCAAGAAACTTTAAAAAAAAAATCTTAAGCATCCTGACCCATCAAGTAAATACAAATCAAAACATTTTGTGAATCTGTCTTACACTTATCAGGGAATAAGATCAAAAATACAAGTGACAACTCATGCTGGAAAGGATGTGGAGCAAGGAGAACACTCCTCCATTGCTAGTAGGAGTGCAAGCTTGTATAGCTGATATAAAAATCAATATGGGTTTCCTCAGGAAATTGGGAATCAATCTACCTCATGATTCAGCTATATCATTCCTGGGCATATGCCAAAAAGAAGCGCCACTCTATCCCAACAAAACTGGGTCAACAATGTTCATTGCAGTTTTATTCATTATAGCCAGAAACTGGAGGTGAAAATAATTCTGGTGAATGGGGCAATGCAGATTCCAAAACAGCCCATGTGGCATGTTAGCAAAAGCAAAATTGTGTTCTAGGAAAAGAACCCACTGTTTACAGGACAAAATAAAATCTTCTTAAGTCTGGATGATTGGAGTGAGTGTATTTTCTTTGCTTGCCTTATTTTTTAAGCCAAATGTAGTAATTCCACATTACTTTTATGACAATAAAGCAGTAAAGGTTGTCTTTATTAGTGTAATAGATTTCAGGTCTCTGATCTCTGAGTGATGAACTAACCACTTCAAATGAAAATAAGTAGTTAAAACAAAGTATATAAACTCCCAGAAGTCATCTGTGCTGGGGTAACTCAGTAGAGGCTCCAGATAGAGGTATAAGTGGATTTTTCTTTGACTCTGGTAATTTTAGAGAAGTCGATAGTTATTCTTTGATTAGTTTTAGCCTCTGGAGTTATTAAACTGACAGTGTTACTGTAAACACTGACATCTAGCCTTTTAATAGTTTATTTTAAAATGTGAACAGTTGTATTTTTTAGGAGTAAGAAAAATATGTGTTCCAGAATATTTTCCTGTAGCATTATTGTCATTCATTAAAAGGAAGAATTAATGTTGTTCTGATATATATGCTTAGGTCCATTATTTAGTAATTAGAGTTCAAACAGTGGTATTTACATATTCTTATTTCTCAAATACTATTGTATTCATTTAATTTACCTTTTTATTTTTTATACGAGGCCGCTATGCGGTTCTGGCAGGTCCGGAAACTAGGTAGAACAGTCTGGCCACAAACTTGTGACAATCTTCTTGTCTATATATTTTTTTTCTTTTCTTTTCTTTTCCTTTCTTTCTTTCTTTCTTTCTTTCTTCCTGATTTATTTATTCATTTATTTATTTATTTAGGTTTTTCAAGACAGGGTTTCTCTGTAGCTTTGGAGCCTGTCCTGGAGCTAGCTCCTGTAGACCAGGATGACCTTGAACTCACAGAGACCCCCGACTGCTGGGATTAAAGGCTTGGGCGGCCCAGCTGTTCCTGATTCTTAAGAACAAATGAGTATAGAACTCTTAAAAAAAATCAGAGCAAAGGAAAAGTGGAATCATGGGTAATTTTATGAGCTTAGTATTTAGGGAGATGACACACAAGTTGCTAAATAATTTCATGCTCAATTTTCATGATTCATAAATGGTGGAATTTTAGGTTTGGACAAGCTATCATTTTTTTTTCAGAAACAAAGTCATGCCATGATCATCACATTTAAACTTTCTAACTGAATGATCCACAAGTCTGCTACCCCTTCCACACACGTGAACAGTGAACCACATAGGAATTACATAGGCATCCAAAAAGAAGCATTTTCTACTCAATTTTAACACTAATTTTAATCTTACAACTGTCCTCAATTTGTGGTTTACATTAAATTGTATTTAAATCTATTAAATCTATCCTAACTATTATACTTTGAAGTTCTAAAAAAACTTAAAATTTTTAAATTCTATTAAATTATTTTAAACTTAACACTACTTAAATGCCAACAAAAAAATTAAACAAATCAAAAGGGAAACCTGGAGATTATGGAATATACTTTAAATCAAATCTATGGCTCTTAAAATCTCAAGAACAAACAGACAGTATTCAATATAGTGCCATTAGATGTCAACTGAGAAACCAAGTCTAAATGTCTCATTAGGTAAGGTTCTCATATAGCAACTGCAGAATCTTCTAAAGCTAAATATATTACTGTATAAGCTATTAAGTTATTGTTTTCAGAGGGAAGAAGCTACTTGGAAGAAAAGGTTAAAAATGGAAATGTCACCCTTTACATACATGGGATATTATTAAAAAGATGTAAAATGTAAAACTTGTTTTCTGGTCTTAGGAAAAGTTCTCATAAGCCTTCCAGCTCCACTTGTATTTTGTTGATATTTAGAATAAAAAATTTAAAATGCTTACAAAATTAAAAAATGAATATTTTATAATTTTACCGAATGCTAATCTTGAAAATCATAAATAATTTTGTGAGTATAAGGTCATACCAAACATCAATCTACTGCATGGGTATTTCTTGGTATATTAAAGTTCATGATAATATGATACTTGATGTCAACTGGTTTCTTATAGGTTTTTACCTGTTTTGAGTCTTGTACCACCAGCTTGCTTTACTACCAATCATCTTTCTCACTGTCATCATTTTATATGAGTGTCCTAAAGTACTTGGTTATTAGAGATGTCAAAACAATATTACGCAATCAGCAAATCTTTATAATTGAAAGCTACTTAGATTGATCAAAGTTTTTTTATGTTAGTGTGTTATTTTACCTTTTATTTAAAGAGGACTGTGAACAGGAAAACATGTGCAAACAGGTTAGGTCTTTCATTTTTTTCTAGGTGTAGTTAGACCCTTGAAATTCCTACTACCAAACATTGTAAATGATGGCCATCAACTGTAAATTTGAGATAATTCTTAATATTTTGTGTCACAGGCCATAAGAAGCAGGTGGCAACTAGTGTTCAGATGTCAAACCACCAGATTCATGACAGGATTAGTCTTCTACCAGATAACCACATCTCTGGTGGTGACCTGTGACAATTTTGACAATATGCAACTTAGAAAAAAATAAATAATTTAATGTTTGCTGAAAACAAACTCTTATATACAATATATAAAACTATGTACAATATTATATTGTCTTAAGAAACTTAAATTTACAAAACATAAATACCATATTGTATTGGAAATATACATTTGTGATAAAGTTAGACAACAAAAAGTATAAGTAAGATCCATGACAGACTGTTCTAGCATGTTTTTTTTTTCTTGTGGTAACCACCATGACCAAAACCTAGGAAGGAAAGGGTTTATTTGGCTTATACTTCCAAGTAACATTTATCAGGGTAGGCTCTCAAGCAGGTGTTAAAGCAAAAATTACATGTTTAACTAACTTTCTTACATAGATGGGATCATCTGCCTATGGATGGTGCTGCCCACGGTGGACTTTCCTACATCACTTATTAATCAAGAAAATAATCCTACAGACACAGCCACAAGCCAGAATAACCGAGGAGATCCTTCAGTTTAGGTTACTTCTTTCCGGATGAGTTGTGCTTCTTTGACAATAAAAACTAAATAGCACAGAGACACAATCTTTAAGGGTCAAGCTGAAAGATAGTGTAACAGAAGAGCACATGAGGTAGGGTGGGTTCTGGACACACACACACGCACACACACATGCACACACACGTGCACACACACACACACACACACACACACACAATCATGAGAATTACTGATTTTCCAGTTCAAGAAAACCAAAGGTTCATATGATCCAGAAGCAAACCAATGATGGAAAGAGTGAGATGTCCTCCGTTAGCTGGTGACTCCTATTGTTCTAAAAATGTGGAGTATTTTGTTCTCTGGTCTCTTCTTTTGTCTGCAGTATTAAATTTGTGACAAATATTTGATTTTTTTCCGAGATTCCTAAGTACTAAAACAACGTGCATGTTTCCCCAATGTTTTATATTCTTGTTTTGATAATCTACTACTTTTGAAATAGTGATGTGAGGATGATAATAGGAAAATATATTATTCATACATAGAAATGCACATTCTTACTTTGTTATATGATGATACATTTAATCAATGAATACATTAATCCTAGCAAAATATTTCTGGAGTTTAGCTTTTGTTTTCAGAGATTGAGACCAGGGATCAGATTTCCAGCACATAAGCAGAAAAGGCCTCCTTCTCCCCAGTAACCGTATAGCCTCCAAGCCAGGGTGACTTTATCAAATGTGAGGGTTTAGAAACAACAAGCTCGTATTGTTCATATAGAGACTCATCACTCAGAAGACTGGAATCAGGAAAAAGTAGAAGGATATCCACATATAATTTCTTTTTGCTTTTAAATGATCACCAAACAATATTTTTATACTTAAAGAAATGGGACATTTGAAAAGGCCTGACATGGCTCACAAGAATGCATCCTGAAATAAATCACGTGTGTGTGTGTGTGTGTGTAAAAAATTAAAACAAACATGTTAACTTATTTAACCAATGGACCCAGGAGCCAGAGCTCTGGAGTAGAGTGTGAATTTTAACAGATTACTTGAGGTTAAAATAAAATGTCTTATACTTCTTAAAGATCTCATGTATGTCTACTCACACACACACACACATATGAAATGCAAAACCAAGATACATAAATAAATGGAATATTTCAAAGGCCTTGTAATAAAAATGAGATGCTGTGGAAACCAATTGAGACAAGTGAAATCACCCTTGGGTTTGATTAAATGAAGGAATAAACTCATCATCTTTTCACATGACTCTTGGTTAGGTTTACTTTTAATTTCCTAGGAAGAACTTACCTGGCGAGGGGTTCGTTCTGACTTACTCCTGCACCACTCCCAGTCTGAAAGATCAGGTTTCTGATTCTCCTCATGAGACAATCGTCTTTCTGGACCTTCAAAAATGGTGGTTTCTTCATAGTTAATATCACTTTCTGTTTGAACAGACAAAGCACTCTTTTCCCCGTTCAAGCCGGCTTTGGCCTCTGGGATGTCTGAAGTATTGGTGCACTTGTTGACGCCCAACAGTGTGGTGCTGTCCACCGGTGGCGTGGTGCTGATTTCTACTGTAATGGCGTTGAAGACATTGCGGTTGTCTCCCCCAGGCTCCTTTGTAGCTTCGCACTCACAGTTCTTCAGGTTGTGATAGGATATGGAATTTTCATCATCCTCATAGTAATCTGCGTGTGATATTTTGTAAATTCCATAACTTTGTTGGAACGATAGATTGAATTCAAAACCTTTCCTCTTGGCTGAATGAAAATAACAAAATTCCACAGTTAATATGGTAGATATAAACATCATTGGATGTAAATAATGAGTCTGAACAGGCACTTTTTTACCTGATTACTTGGAATAAAATATCTTCAGTTAGTGATTGTACTGCATGCAAAGCAATATGTCTTACAAAACTCAATCATCTTATTACTCTGAGCCTAATTTCTCTTACAAAAAGAGCAGTCTGAAAAGCAGCCAATCTTAAAGACTGTGCCTTTAAGGTGATCTCATATGACCAAAACTTAACTGTGAACTAGAAAATTCTCAAATATATTTAGTTTTAGTTTTCCAGTTCATCATTTTTAATAATTTGTTTACATTTGTTTTATGTGCGTGGGTGTGAAGTTGTCAGATCCTGTGAAACTGTCATGAGAGTGCTGGAAATTGAATCCAGGTCCTGTGGAAGAATAGTCAGTGATCTTAACTGCTGAGTTATCTCTCCAGCCCCTCAGCTCACCAATTTTATAGTTTTTATTTTTTACTTTAAAAGTACTATATTGTCTACTGCCCTAGAAATTGATTATAAAATAACCTTCATATTATGATCTATTATGAAGATATAATCACTGCAGCTGTTTTATCTATATACTTCTGACATTTATTTCTGCAAATATGCACATTAAAATGAGAACATAGTTTGCCATGTAGCTTTTAAACTTTAAATAAATAAATAAATAAATCTTCTCTTTCTGACTGTCACTATGGAGATAAGGGTGGTGTTGAATTTTCCAAGTAGCACAGGCTGGTTTTGAACTCTTGGCCTTTCTCTCTCAATTTTTGGGCCACAGGTGTGAGACATATTTGGCAACATTTTACATTTCTCATACAAATAAACTGAGAATACATTTGTTTTTTTTAATGAATGCATGTGTAATTTTGTGGATGGATGCAGTTTTAGAGTACTCTCAAATCCGAGTAATTACAAGGTAAATTTAGCAAGGATACATAAATTTTATTAAACAGTCAGAAGAGCAAGTATTCCAAATATCACACTACTAATTATGGGTATGGCTCAAAGACTTGGAAGACAGTGCACCAGAAAGTGATGCAATTTTTGTGTATAAGTGTCAGTCAACAATAGATAACTTTCATATATTAAGAATCAACTTATATCAAAGTGATAGTCAAATGCAGTTTGATGCTTCATTTTTTTTTTTATCTTTTAAGACATGGTTTCTTTCAAGAGAACTTTCTGCTCTGATATCTCAATGCTTTACAGTTAGGCATTTAGCTATCTTTGGTAGAAAAATTATGAAAAGCTATAAAGTTTTTATGGGGATAACACATAAAATTTGATTCACTTTGTAACACACTCCAGTGCATTCACTTGCTCATTCTATTACTGAAATGTTCTGAGAGCCAAAGATTTACAGCTCAGTTCTGCTTCCTGGAAAATAGAATTAATCAATATCCTTCATTTTTGTGTGAGCCAGAACATAAATAAGAAAAATTTGTATCAAAAAATTGAAAAGTAGAAGCAGATGATTGTATCCTGTATACTGTGACATTTATAGTTCTACTTTATTTTTCCAGTAATATAGTCCAGTAAAGTTAAGTTGTTACTTTTAAGGTACTTCCAGACTGAGAGCTGAGGAACTACAGGATGACATAATTAGTGATCGGTTCCCCTTCTTCAAAGAGATATAAAGTGAAAAATTTGTAGTCTAAAACTACTCAGAAAATAAGGGTGCCCATAAAACACCAATTTTATTATTAATACCTGACTGTATAGTGTTAGTTGTATATTGTAACTGAGATACAGTGAGTAAAAAATGTGTAACATTTTAAAAACATGATCAGAATGTGCTACTGGAGCATCTGCTTCCAGGTCAGGAGCATACAAGGAAGTTTGAGGTAAAAAGAAAAATCGGGGACCAGTGAAAAGGCTCACTCACTAGATAGAGATGTTTGAAATTCAAGTCTAATGACTTGAGTCCAGGCCTCACTCACACAGTAGAGAGAGCTATCTCCCAAAAGTTATTCTCTTACACATATAATCATATATGCATTAGATATCACACACAATAATGATAAATACATATTGAAGAAAGAAATTAAGATTGCCATAGTAATTATGAGGTGGTAGATCAACCATGTTGTCTTATGGTCTATCTACATAATATGGTCTCTGGTAGATCAACCATGATCCGGTGGAGATGATACGAGTATATGGGTAGCACAACTTGGACTCATGGGTTATTTTTTAAAAAAAAGGTGAGAGAGGTTGTGAAAGTAGGGGTGGATCTAGAAGGAGATGGGGGATGAGTAGAGAAATATGACCAAAATACATTGTATGAAATTCTCAAAGAATTAATAAAACATTATATTTTAAAAACCACATCTTTGATCCAAACCTAGCTCAGAGGTCACTATTGGGTATGTCTGTCCCTTACTCAGCATGTAGCACAATGTAGCTACAAATATCATAACCATTTCCTTGGTAGGTAACTATGAGTGAGTGTGGATAGCATGCCAGAGATGATAGGAATGCTTGGTTCAGAATGACCCGACTAAATGCTACTAGCTGAATGGGGTATGATCTGATGATGTGGGATTCCCCTCTGTATGCTATGAATTTGTTTTATTACCATTGGTTAATAAAAAAGCTGCTTTAGCCTATAATAGGACAAAATATAGCCAGACTGAAAAAGTCAAGGAGATGCCATGTCAAAGGAGAAAGACGACAGAACAGAACCTTACCTAGTAAGCTACAACCTCATGGCAATATACAGATTAGTAGAAATGTGCTGATTTAAGATGTAAGAGTTAGTAAGAAAGAAGTCTGAGCTAATAGGCCAAACAGTATTTCAATTAATATAGTTTCTGTGTGATTATTCAGGTCTGAGAGTTGGGAGACGAACGAGTAGTCTCCTACTACAATCCAAGAATAATTTCTTCAAAACTTTATTCATTTGAAAGTTTTAGAATTTCTGGCCTCTGTCTACATATATTTTTTTTATGAATATAGAACATGAACCTGAGTTGCTTGTAAAGGTTTCAAAATAAACAACCAATGAGAGGGCTCAGTGGGTAACGCCACTCCAATTCCTGGAACCCATGTAAAGAAGGAAGGAAAGAACAAAATGCACGAAGTTGTCCTCTGACCTTCAAATGTGCACCGTGGCATGTACACACACACACACACACACACACACACAAATACAAATATACAATCTAAAAATATTTTAAAGGTTATGAATAGAGAAGCTTTAATTGATTAATAGTTTGCAAAAAGTCTAAAGACCAGAAGAATAGTCTGATACTTTGAGAAATCTGAAAAAGAACAGCTTCAGTGTTTTTAAAGCCTGCATCAAGCATATATCAGCCATCTCTTACCAACTAAAATTTTATAATAATTACATTAGCTTATGAGGAAGACACCTGGTCAGACGTCCCCATCAGCTTAGACCATGAAACACAGTATGGACAAGTTCAAAATTTAAAATATTATCTTATAAAATAAACGATTTTACATATATCATGAGGCACTCTGATTTTGTAAAGAAATTAGCTAAAAATGTGACTCTCATAGAGAATACCTGTTTGTTATAACAAGAAAACAACCTGTCAATCAAAAAGTATGAATCTGAAAACCATATCAATACTACATAAAATTGCTATGTTAAGATTTATATAAAATTTTTGTTTTGAGAAAATATAGAAACTCCTATCCAAAACAAAACAGGATACTTATTCCTGCTAATTATTTTCTGGTTGTTTGTCTTTTTGTCTCTATTTAGTGAAACTGAGACATATGGTTTCTTGGTTATTTGAACGAGAGGCTGGTAACATTGCTTTGGCATTAGTTAGTTCTGATATGGGTGCTTCCCAGTTTTTAAATATGTTTGTCTAACCAACTTCACCAAGACTTCATTCATTTCCACTGGCACAAGCTTACCTCCCTCACAATCTTAAATTTGCTAAGACAGAATCGCTGCCCTAATATAATAATAAATAGCATCTGCCAACTGTTAGAACTGGCTTTTAAGTAATTTCTTCCTATTCCATAGTACAGCATTTGAACCTGGAGGTGTAGCAACAGAAATTGAAGTGGCCAGACAAATCACATCATATGGAGAGACATTTCCTGAACTTGAGCAGTATGCTACTAAGAAGTTTGCTGAAGCATTTGAAGCTATTCCGTGGGCACTGGCAGAAAATTCTGGTGTGGAGGCCAATGAAGTTATCCCTAAACTTTATGCAGTGCACCAAGAAGGAAACAAAAATGTAGGATTGAATATTGAGGCTGAAGTTCCGGCTGTAAAGGATATGTTAGAAGTCAATATTTTAGATACTTACTTGACAAAATACTGGCTATTAAATTGGCCACTAATACTGTGGTCATTGTACTAAGAGTGGATCAGATCATTATGGCAAAACCGACTGGTGGGCCCAAGTCTTTAAGGGGGAAGAAAGACTAGGATGATGGCCAAATTGACTGTGGGACTTTTTTGTTGTAGGTGAAGAGTTTTCTTTATAGACTGGAACTTTCCTAATGTTATCTTAGTCTCCCTAAATTAAGGAATATTTGTGTTTGTGCTCTCCTGGTGTTACTGTTAACACCTGTTGGATCAATTGCTGCTTATATCAAGCTCTTTAAACACGTAAGCTAAAGCGAGGCAAATAACTTACATGACTGCTCTCTTTGTTTGCCTGAACTGCTTCTGAAAATAAATTGTTGTAACCACCAAAAAAATCTGTAAATTGTGCACATAATTTACTATCAGTTGTCTCTGTGGTTATTGCTTTAGCAATTAATCTCTAAAAACACATCATTATTATGTTATACTTATTTTAAAGACAAATAAATTTACCATCTATTACCAATAAAACAATGATATTTCTGACAATAGAAATATATCCATCAATTGGAAAATATCTGGATAGTCAACAATTTAAATATAATAGCACATGAAAATGGACAGTAATTAATATTTGTAAAAATAATCTTGTTCAATTGATTACAGAAAAATACTGTTTAATATTCTCTAAATTTTATAACCCTAAAATGATCTGGAATGAACTGTTTTTATTTAACTTTTCTTCTCTGTTAAAGAAAATATACTTGCTTATTCAGCGTAAGGGTCAATTAGCAGAAGCTATTGATCATACACTAACGAATCATCCTGTTCATTCAGTCTAGTGCCTATCTTTCGTCTAGAATGACAAAACATGTCCTTTCAGTTTTAGTAGCTCAGAATATACAGCTGATTCTGGGCCTTGTTTTCCTCCCCTGTCATCTTTTCATTGAGAAGAGTAAGAATCATACTGTTTCTTTTAATAGATGTGATCAGGCTCTATCTAATCTCTATACTTATGGGAATCTATGTGACCAGACTTTATCTGCTCCTGTCTGAATACAGCAAAAACTGCCCTCTCTCCCCCCTTCTAGCAACATAAACAACTTCTTAGAGTAAATAGCATGGGTAGTCTCTTAGGTACAAAACCAAGGACAACCAGAAACCCTCACCCCCTTTTAAGCTTGCGGGGGGGGGGGGGTTGCTTATCGGTAGATGTTAGGGGCGTAATGTGTTTCTAGCAGTTGGGGAACAATGTGAACATCTACTGGGGGACTGTTTTCAGGCAAGGTGGTTACATACTACAGAAATTTTCCAATATCTTAAGGGGAAATAGGCATCAAAATAATGAAAACACCTTCCTTACTGTTCTACTGAATAGAAATAGCTCAGGGAGGGAGTTTTATGTTCTTTTGGGGAGTTCATCTCTTTTCAAACTCAGGCTGCTCAGCAATGCTGCTCCTCATATACAGGTTTGGGAAGAGAGACTGATTTTCTAGTCAGGGCTAAAGGTGAGGAAGGAGGTAACATAAAGAACTGTGTTGATATCAAAGGGCTGAGTTGAATGCCCCCCCCCCATCTGTAAAAGTCACGAATGAATCAATATTTCGCAGGGTTGTTTGAAACCTCTTCCAACACTAAGCTGAAATTTTATCATTTCCTCTCACGCTTTACCATGTGTATCTGTCCTAGGATTCTCACATCCCGCCCCCTGTAACTTTCTCAGTGGGTCTTTTTCTGCGTTTGAGTGTATGCATGTACATTTAATCCCCCTCGGCCACTGGGGAGGACTTACACTTTTTCCCATCGAACTCAACGGAGTAGGCGTCTGGCTGGCAGTTGATGATACAGCCACAAGGTAAGTGGGTCCAGCGTTTGGACAAGATAAACACTGGGGTTACAACGCTGGCCAGCAGGGTTAGGAGGAAACTGAGGGTATCGACCGGAAGGCTCTGAAATCCCACCACGTGTTTTACCACCATGTGGATCTGAAAGGCAAAGAACTTCTTAAGCCACTCATTCCCCTTTTCCACTTTCCAAGTCTTTCTCGCAGCCCTCACTCAGTTGAAGTCCTCTATCCAAGCCCCCTTCCCTGATCAATAGGAGCTCTTCTTCTTGGCTCCATCCCCCGGGGCTTCGGTGGCAGGATCTCGGGAATGCATGGGACACATCTCGGTGAACCGGAGCAGACAGGTTGTAGTGGTTTCCTTTCTGAATGTTCTGTCTGCACCTGCTGCCCTTTGAGATCTCTACCCCAGAAGGCACGCAATCTATAACTTAGAGATGCTACGCAGAGAAGGGCCAGGAACCGGTGGGACCTGTACTGGAGACTCCAAAGCACTTGCCACTTCTTGTTTCCACGTATCAACCCTGGTGCGCTGGTCACAGCAAGCGCCACTGTCTCTTCTCCTCCCACCTCACTCCAGGATTCCGGGAACAAAAGCTAATTTCCTTTCACCTCTCTCCTCACCCCCCCCCCCCATGTTGATCACACCTTTCTGTCTCTTGGTGCTGGATGTGGGCGGGGTCCCTATGAGGCAGGAGGAAACAAGGGATGAAACTGGACCGCAGAAGGTTGAAAGAAAAACCCTTTATAGTTCCTCCCTCTCTTTCTGAATACGCCCAGATTTTGCCCTAAGAGATCTTTGACCATGATCAAGGAAAACCAAGTCTCCTGTAATTGAAAAGACTCTCCACCCTTCTCAAATTCTCAAATTGAGAAACACTTAACATCCAAGGCTTGGTGCCTAACACTGCTTTCTTCAGCTCCAACAGAAGCGTTTGGAAGCGGACTTATCCGCGCATCTTTGGGTGGCTCCCCAAACCTACCTCTGGGCTCAGCTCACACACCCGCACGTGAAACATGCACTCACCATCATGGGCAGCCAAAGGATGACTTTCGTCAGCGCTAGGATCAAAGAAAAGCGTTTCTGTGCCAGGCTCACGGGGAAGCTGCTGATGCCATGGGGAGTCCCGGGATTTTCTCGCTTGCTGGCTCCAGAGCCGGAGGCAGCAGACTGACCTGGGCCAGGCACCGAGTCGGAGCTCGGGGAGCATCCTCCAGCGCATCTAAGAGCTGGGATCGCAACGTTCTCTGGCGACAGACAGAGCACTCTTCCCCCAGCAGCGGGGGTCCCGGGAGTGGAGGCGCCACGGGAAATTTCCTGGTAGTTGGCATGGAGTCTCGGCGGCTCCTCGGAACACAGCAGCTGGTGAGTGAGAGGGACGGAGAGAACCGCCAGGAGCCCAAAGGCGGAAGCGTAGACGGCGAAGAGGAGCAGCACGTAGGGACTGGAGCTGTCGGTCAAGCAGCCCCAGGGCGTGCGCACGAAGAAGCCCCAGCCACACAGTGGGAGCGCGGCCAGCAGCAGGCTGACTGCCCACACAGTCAGTACCACACCAAGCACCTGTCCTGATCGCAAGGAGGCTGACTGACTCGCCACTGTCCTGTGCATCGTATAAAAGTTGTAGAAGACTATAAGAGACGCCTTCAAGTTGCTGGAGAGGCCCTGGCACAAATACACTAAGGCAGAGGTGGTGCATAAGGACTGGAAGTAGCCTGGAGTCTCTTTTGGCCATTGCAAAAACATGAAGATGGCCACTGAGAAGACGCTCAAGAGATCATCCACAGACCAGGAAGCCACAAGCAAGGACACAACAGTTCTGTTTTGCACGGTCAGCAGGGAAAACAGTGAGAAAATGCTGCCCACCAGAGCTGCGAGAGTCATTAAACAGATCAGGCAGAAAAGAGAAAGAGTCGGAGTTGCTGGCGAATTCACAAGGTCCGTAGAATTATGACTTACTTTCCACAGGTTAGAGTCATTTGTTAAGTTGCTGAGAAGGAAAGACATGGTCCTTAATATTTTAATTCCCCTCTTCAACGAGTCTGATGGTTTTCCCAGAGCGTGAGAGTTGCGAATCTGATGTCATTTCTCCTGCCAAGTTTCTCTAGATGTTCCATGTGTTGGTCCAGCAGGAAATGGTCAGACATGTCTCAGTTAGAAAGATCTGACTCAACCCATGTTTTAAAACTGGGATCCGTTTCAGGCATCAATAAGAAACTTTTCGGCATTTTAAGTAAATACGCCAAGGAAAAACTTCTTTCCACCACCACATTTCAGACAAGAAAGCAAAAAAGCCTCAGGCAGATTGCCAAGTCCCCATGCCTGGATGCTGGGAGCAGCTCTAGGTTGATGCAATCACTTGGGAGAACAATAAAATGATGTATCTGTTTCCAGAGCTGGATTCAAAGGCAGAGGTTGTCAGGTAGGTTTTCGGCTCAGCTAGAGAGAGAGAGAGAGAGAGAGAGAGAGAGAGAGAGAGAGAGTCATAGGAGCCTGAACACAGGCTCTCACCAAACCTTTGTGTTCTTTAATCAGCCTGTGATCCTGGGAGCTGCAGGAAGGAGGAGTCAGCTGCAAGCAGGAGAGAAGCAGGGACTAAGGGGAGAGAGAGTTTCAGTGTTGAAACAAAATGATTTGTAGCTTCTCTTCTCAGCTTGGCTTATATGAAACCAGAAATAGGGCCTTTTGATTTGGGCATATAAAAACTACTCCAAATACTTGCCGTGGCTTGGATTAAACTACAGAAATCACTACCAACAGGTATAAGCTACACACATAGCTGAAATCCTTCCTTATCCTTTATCCAGGCTTTCCTTGTGTGAGAGGCTTTCCCTGGAGAGGTAGGGCATGCATGTCTACTCAGCCCAGTCAGGGAACTCACAGCAGGCCAAAGTGATGATTGTATCAAATTCCAACTTGGTTAACTAATGAGTGTCTGCTGGGGTTACTTATAGGAACAGGGATGACTCCCAAACAGCGGCATCATTAAAAAGCCCAGCCCAACACAGGTCACCGGTGCACAGCTCCATCCCTGGAACTCTCTGTACAGCATGCAGGCAGCTTGACGTGTCTGAGACTCTCCTCTTGGCAGCCCAGCTGCCTAGAGTCTCCTCTCCAGCAATCGTTTTCTTCTTCTATTGTGGTAAGGAGGGGTCCACATGACTCTCCCAAGTTTAAGCTTTCTCAGATGTGAAGAAGTCTGTTTACCTCTCGAGTTTCGTGAGCTTCCTTCCTGAAAGGAAGGTTTCAGCCCTGAGGAATCCAATGCACAGCCATACAACAATCCATCTCTTCTGTCTATGACTAAGCATGGGTCATATGTCACAGCCTCAGTCACTTAGGACTCTCACTAGTGGTTAGGAGTCCCCAGGGTACACCGCGTATTGCAAAAGGAAGTTTCCTTCCATGGTAGATTTCCACTGAAAGCAACAGCGACCTATGGGCATAAGCACAAATGTTTAGATGACAGATTGATGGGCGCATCACGTCCTTTTAATAAAATAGTAGCGGTTGCTTTCCTACTGGGGCTTATGACCTCTCCAGATATGACAATGTGAAGTCCCAAATTGTTTGTTGTTTCCAGGATAGTTGTATCATTGTGGTACAGTCAGATACACTGTCTGGGATTTTTTTTTCTTTTTTTCTTTTTTTTTTTTTTTGTACTACAGCACATAGAATCCACAGCCAAACAGTAGTGTTGGTGACCACGCCCTCCCAGCAGCCTGAATACTAGCTTCTGGCACCAGAAGTCTTTAAGGAGGGGGCTTGAAGCTCAGTCCCAACTTTATTTCTCCATGTCCTGCAACCAAAGTGTGCTGTGTCTACAGCAATAGGACCTTATTATCTAGTTTTGGCATGCTGCTAATAGCAATGGCAATAGCATTTATGGTTTGTGGACTCTCAGTGCCTACTCGATCAGCAGCCTGTAACAAAATAATCCACCTCAGGTACTAGTATTTTCATTTAACAACTTATAGCCTCTAGGAGTGTCCTTTTCCACGGGTGCAGGGTGTTGTCTATATTTAAGCACCTAAAATCTGTATAATATTTTAGATTAATCCTCTGAGAATTTTATGCTTACATTCAGTATATTTCATGATATTTATCCCCCACTCCTAGATGAACCTGTCATCTCCCGACGACCACCTCTTCATGTCCTTTTATTTTGTTATCTCACTGAGTCCAGTTTGGGCTGCTCATGTACTCATGCATATGGGACCATCCACTGGGGTGCAGTCCACCTCGCAGGGGCCACACCCTTCCCCAGAAATCACCAACTATCAGTCTTTCCTCAGTTAGAATTGTGGGGGGCTCATGAGTCCCTTCCCCTGAGTGCTGGAATGTTGACTGCCTTGTTATTCTTGGGGTCTTGTGCATGTAACCCCCGCTGTTATAGTCCATGACTACAGTGGTCCTGTTCAGTTCAGTCCTAGCTTCTACAGTCTTTCTGCTTCTCCTGCAGTGATGGGTGTGACTCAGTTGCCCCATTTGTGGCTGAGCACACCAAACACACTGGTTCTCTGAACTTTAACCCACTATGAGTTTCAGTATTAACTGCCTTCCACTGTACAGAGACACTCACCTAATGAGTCTAAGAACTACACTACCCATGATGAAAGAGAAACAAATTTAGAGGGTAGCTTGAAACGATGTCCATTTTATCAACTTTTGCTTTAACAGTCCATTCTTTCTTTCAATTAACCAGGCACCAGGGTGGTTGTATGTTGCGTAGAAGTACCATGGCACCTGGTCATCTTTACTCCAGATCTGTAAATCACTGTCAGTGACATGACTAACTCTGTGATGTGGTTTGAATGAAAATGGCCCCCATAGACTCATAGGGAGTGGCCCAAACCAGGCCTAGTAGCTCAAGGTCCCTTCCTGCTACCTACTGATACAGAGTACAACTTTCAGTTACCTCTCTAGCACCATGTCTACCTGCATGCCACCATGCTTCCTGAGATGATGACAATAATCTAAACTGCAAGCCAGTCCCAAATAAACAGTTTCCTTTTTAAGGGTTACACTAGTTACGATGTCTCTTCACAGCAATAGAAACTCTAAGACGAAAATTGGTACCAGAGTCTGGGTACTGCTGTGCGTGTCCCGACCGCGTTTCTGTTTGGAGGAATATGGAACACTTTTGAACTTTAGAATGAAAAGCAAATGGACACTTTAAGCAGGCCTTAGTGGGTCTTACTACATAAGAGCATGGAGGACAATTGTAAGGGTGATTTGAACTGGGGCTCAGCTTAAGTTGTTTCAGAAAAGAAGAATATTAATATATGGCCTTGAGATCATTCTTGTAAAATTTTGGTGAAGAGTGTGACTGCTTTCTGCCCTTTTCTAAAATAGCTAAGGGCCAGACATGGTGACTCACACCTTTAATCCTAGTACTTGGGAGGAAAGATCTGTTAGATTTCTGAGTTCAAGGCCAGCTTGGTCTTCAGAGCAAGTTCAAGGACAGCTAAGCTTAGGCAGTAAAGGAAATCGGTGAAAACCGAAAGCTGGCAAAAAATATATTTGAACAAGGGAGTCATAGTCCAGCCCCAGCAAGCAACAGAACACGACAGCTTAAATCATATAGTTCTGGTCTTAGAGTCAAGGATACCAGTAAGGGGTTATGGGATTTCCCTCTGCGGCCAAGGAGAGCTGCTGAGGCCAGGCATATGTTGGGTGACTCTGTATGGAGGCCTAGAGAGGCCATGGTGGAAAGCTGTGAAGGTGAAGATTGTCTTGAGACTCCAGAATGTTGGAGACTCCAGCGCTGTGAGACAGAGACCTGAGGGGAGAGCTACTTACAGGGAGTGGAAGCAGTCCAAGAGAGAGAAGTGTGTTGCCATCAACAAAGCTGAAAGGAGCTGGAGATCTGAAGAGTGCTTTGAAATTAAATATGAAGATGTAGTGTTTGGAATTTTCCCAGCTGGTTTTTGGCCTTGCTTTGGTTTAGTATTTCTTCACTATGCCCCTTTCCCTCCCTTTTGGAATGGTAATGGATATCCTGTACCATTATATGTTGGAAGTATGTTATCTGCTTTTTTATTTTGATTTTACAGGGGCTACAGTTAAGAGATTGCCTTGAGTCTCTAAAGAGATGTTGGACTTTGAAACAGGATTGAGATTGTTACAGACTATGGGGACTTTTGAAGTCAGACTACAGGCATTTTGCATTATGATATGATTACAAGCCTATGGGCGTCAGGGAGTGGAATGTGGTAGTTTGAATGAAAATGCCCCCCATAGCCTCACAGGGAGTGGCATTGTTGGAGGTGTGGCCTTGTTGGAGCAAGTACGTCACAGGAGGTGGGCTTTGAGGTTTCAGAAGCTCAAGTCAGGTCTAGTGCCTCACTATCTCTTCCTGCTGCCTATTGATTCAGGTGCAGAATTCTCAGCTACCTCTCCAGCACCATGTCTGCCTGCAAGCCACCATGCTTCTCTCAATGATGATGATGGACTAAACTACTATGAACTGTAAGCCAGCACCAATTAAGTATTTTCCTCTATAAGAGTTGCTGTGGTCACGTGGAATTTTCCCAACAATAGAAATCCCAACTAACACCTTATCACAGTTAGTTTTCCATGAGTGGCCATACATAACACTGAATTGAATGAAACCCTTGATGCTGCTCTCTGGCATAGGAATGCATGTAAGAGGCCTGTAGTAGTATTCACACCAATAAGGACGTATATGTGCCCCTAAGCGACAGGACTAGGGCCTTTACAATCTGCCAATCCCTTAAGGAAACAAGTTGACTTATATATGTATTCCCTCCACTTCTGTTATTCCCACTGAGGTGACAGGGCACTCAGTCTGTCCTGCAGCGTTCTTAGCCCAGTTCAAAGCCTGTAGAGCCTTTCTGCCTTTTCACTACGTAGCAATCCTCTTTATCAAGAGAACTAGCATCTTGGGTAAGGTGGGGGTATGGAAACCCATCAGTCTTCGAGAAACTTCAAGGAAGTTTGCAGCTCTTTTACACTCACAGGCATAGACTTCAGTAGAATTGACC